AATTATTCCAAACTTTTTCCTGGAAGTGTAAATTTAAAGCAATGAATATTACTTGTATAAGATCGTGTTGAGTGCCAGCAGGTGTCAGTATAAGGTTGCAGCTCACGGTTGTTCAGGAAGATGCATGAAGTTACTCTTTATTAACAGTAGCTGATGTGACTCTTTCAGGTCACGGGCCCGTCATGGCTATATTTGAGCTGCTGGATTATATAGTCAATGAGGTGAGTCTCTCTTGTTTTTAATCACACGTTTATGTTTTTTTAGAATAAAACCGCCTGCATGAAAACTATTATCTTGAAACTGACGTCTACTTTATGTGTCTAAACTAATAGAAGGCACTGAATATGAGATCTGATGCTGTCGCTAATGATGTATAATGTAGACTTTTACATGTGTGTCATCCCTCAGCCGCCTCCTAAACTCCCTCACGGCGTCTTCACTCCTGATTTCCAGGACTTTGTGACCAAATGGTGAGTTCTGTTACTCGGTGGGTGAAATAAAGCACATCTTTGGTGTGTTTTCACATGTGTTTGAGATCTTGGACATTTTGTTCACAGGTTTATGTTTATAATGTAGCGCTTTAGTGTCTAAATGATCATTTCAGCATTTTTTCTTTGCATATTCCTTCTAGTCTGATTAAAAACCCTGCAGATCGAGCGGACCTGAAGATGCTGACGGTGAGAGCACTTTTCTTTCGTTTGATTATATAAAATCAAAATGAACCCTTTACTGTAATAAATATTCTTGATTAAATGGTGTCCATTATTATTATTATTACAGTAACCAAGATTTGAAATAACAACCAACCAAATCATAACCCACTTTTCACAATCCAATAAATTCTGGATAAGCTCAAGTCTTGCTGGTCATTATTCACTATGAATTTGCTTGCAGAATCATATAGTTTTTTTTTGTTTTTTTTCTACAGTTTTGTACTGCATTGTTATTTTATACACCTGATTCACAATACGGTCTCAATTTTGTGTCAGGGTTGTTATAGTTAAAACTAAAACCATAAAAAAAAAAATTGTTACTTGAAATACTTAAAATGAAGAAACAATCTTAATTCAAATATTTAAATAATCTTAATTATTTTATTTCAGCTAGTTGCCAAGGCAATATTTATTATTTTCATTTAAAAAAAATTATATAAATTAGTTAATAAATAAAAAAATTCATTTTGAAGTAAAAAAAGAATAAAAACTATATAGATG